AATGGGGCTCAGCAGGCTGGGGTGCTCCACTAGGCAGCTGTAGACATCCCCAAGCTCAGGAGTCATTTCCAGCATCACCGTGGTCTGAGAGGTCCAGTCTCCATTCCTGATAAGGCCAGTAGACACAACCCCAGACTGCTCCTCCTGTCCGTTCCGGAACCACCTGATATTTATGTCCCCTGGGTAGAAGCCGGTCACCAAGCAGTCCAGCAGGTTGTGCTGCTGGAGGAGTGGGGTCCTCTCTGGGTACACTGTCACCTCTGGTTGCACTGGACCAGAGAGAAAATGCGACCTTGTGAAGGAAAGCCACCAATCAGGGTAGATCGTCTTTAGGGACTGTCATTCCCTAATCCATTTCCCAGAAGAGCCAAGTGGAAACCAGAAGGGTAGAAACATCTAAGCACCATAGACTGAGAAACAGATGTAAGGATGACCCCAGGAGGACTTACACTGTATGGTCTGAATCCCCACGATCACCCATTCTACTTGAGAGTACACCAGTCCAAGAACCTTGGGGTGCCAAGACCAAGACCATGGTGTCCTGGCTTGTGAGGCGTGAGTCACAGCTGAGGACAGAACATATTCACTGGCTCCCCATTCATCCTGAAGCATAAATTGCCTAACATAAGCAGGCAGGCAACATGGCTCAGTGGGTAGAGGCACCACTGCCAACCCTGAAGACCTGAGTTCAACCCCCAGGACCCACATGGTGGAAGGGAAAACCTGGGTGGTTCAAACTGTTCTCTGGCCTTCATGCACACAGGCAATAATAATAATAATAATAATAATAATAATAATAATAATAATGCAGCATCATAAACAGACACTTAGACTGTTTTCTACAAGGTTATGTTTGGCTTTTCAGTGAGTGAATTTTTCTGACTCACTCTGTCATTTTGAAACCTAAGACTTGGCCCACAGGAGACAAGGAGGATTAAGAAACCAGTTCAAATTTCAGTTCTTCCCCCTTGAGGCGAGATGGCACTGACAGGAGGAACACAGTGGTAATTACTTTCTGAGAGGTCTGATAGTAAGTTTCTCTTCAGCCTATGGAGTAGGAAAAGAGGGAGCCTCCGTCACTAGAGACAACCTGCATAGGGCTACTTGGGATGTTTACTTTGGAAAAACAGAACAGTCACCACTTTTTCCAGGAACAGTCCCGGGAAGATTAGTGAGAGTTGGAAAATGCTAATCCCGAAATAAACCATTTCTTCCTAAACCAATTTATTATTTGCATAGTGTAGACTCTGCCCCCCTTCCATAGCTGATAATGTGTGAAAATGACCTACACCATGTATTTCAGGAGATATTTTTACATGTCCTTACATCTGTCTCTCTTCATGGCAGGAATCCACTGATACCTACACCAGTCCATTGTAAGACAACGAATGAGTGGGTAACAGATGCCACATTCTACAGATTCAGCAGCACTGAGAAATGGGGTTCAAGGGTGTAGCTCAGTGTCACAGTGTACTCTGAGGATCTATGAGGTGTCTGATCCTGAGAGAGAGGGAGAGAGAGACTGAGAATCAGAGACAGAGACAGAGACAGAGAAAGAGATGATGGAAAGACAGAAGGGGAGGGAAGGGGAGGAAAGAGACAGGAGGTGAGGGGAGGGGAGGAAAGGGGAGGGGAGGGAAGGGGAGGGAGGGGAAGGAAGAGACAGGAGGGGAGGGGAAGGGGGGGAAGGGAGGGGGAGGGA